GTCGTATAAAAATAAAAATATAAATTTAAATTAAACAACAAAATAATAATATGTCGAAGCGCGAAACCGTGTTTTGGCGCAACGACGTGTGTCCGATCGGGCCGGGGTGGAAATAAAATATTACCAGTAGTTTTAATTCGTATATTATATTATCATAGGATAACATAAAAATTTCGTGTTTTGTTCGTTTGGTCGCGTTTAATGCAATAGCGATAAATTTTATTGTCATTCTCAACATTTATCGCGTTCGCGTACCGGTTGACCAATATAATGATTACTATTTTTACTTCGACGTATAACGTAATAAGACGTACACCGCGATATCGAGTTATGTCGAACGGCAMGGCGTTTTTACACGCAACACTTCGTACACGACGACGAGTTTACCGGGGTTAGTGGTTCGTTTAAAATGTCTTTATACGACTTAACCTATGCGAAAAACTATCGATTCCATACGAGCGATGATCAACCTCACAGCAGAATAGTCGCAATTATTAGTTTTGGAGTTTTCGATCGTTGACTTACGAAAAGTTAGCGGCGTCGTGACTGTAGTGCACACTATACACAGTCACTATTATTGATTTCGATTTTTTTTTTCTAGTATTATTTTTGTCTCTGAAAACTYCAAGAATATAATAATAATAAAAATACGAAATAAACCCGACTCGACGCTTTGCATCGTAAACTATAATATTATCTACGATTCGATATTTATCGCGCTAATCGGGGATTACGAACGACCAAAGTCTGGAATGCCAGACGGCTGCCGATGATGGTCGGTGTTCCGCGAATGCACGAAATTATTASCACAGATGCTGCAGCAAACCTCACAAACACATTTTATGGGCTTATGGGAAAACAGGGGTGGCGAATGACGATGAGTAGAGGAAAAGGGTTGAACTGAAACTCATTTTATAACCGAGTGATTTTTATGGATACCGTATACCACTGAACTATAATAATTGAATTTCTAACAAAAACTCGTATTATTATTACTACGGTACATGTTTTACTGTCGTCGTTGACTTTTAATATTTCGTTTCACGCTATGTATGCAAATTGGTAGATATGGCAGACTTTAATCTAATTGTATACTGTACGATTTTGTATTATACGGCAAACTCGCAAAYGTTGTTTTGCGCGTTTTTATAACAAAAAAAWTCGTTATATACATTTATATTATGTACTATGTAGTATATATAATATATTATATAGTGTTATACTTGTATTGGTTACATTTTATAATATACTCGTGGTATGCGCTAGGCGACCGACATTTTTTTCTCAAACGATTTCGATGTAAACGATAGGTGCAAGGTGGTTTAGGATTGAGTTGCGATCGGAAATATGGCGTAAGTACATCGTTTTTGTTRTTGCATTATTGAAAACAATAATATGATTCTGTACCCAAATTTAATAAATGGCAAGCCGCTTAATAATTCAAAGCTACCCGGAATTACAGAGTATACGAAATAACCTGTCCACATCAATCAAGCCCCATATACTGAACAACCTATCAAAAGAAAAAAAAACAGTATTAAGACCCTGCAACATTTTTCAAATAAAATTAAACTGTTTATTAAACGTTGTAAATATATAACGCCACACTCCAGTATTATGTTTTTCAAAGATGAAACCCAAACAGGCCCGTAGCCAAACATAACTCATTAGTCATTATGTTTAAAATGTAAAAAAGGGACGACACTCACTAACAAGTAATCAACTCAAGAATACTGCACTGTTATTAAAAAATAGAGATGTTGATAGCAATAATAGAAATAGTATTTAAACTTTACGCACTTGCATATTAATGATGATTTACTACGTTATACTTTCACACATTTATACGACATAATATATGCCAACAATTGCCTATATATTGGGATTAAATAAATTTAATAGAGAATAAAACAAGACCAATTTTAGTTATAAGTTAACACATCGATACATCTGTCGTGTATAAAGACTATGATGTATAATGTATTATATTTGGCAACAACTACCGCGAAATATATAATATAATATTGTGGTTTTAGCCTCTTTTATTAGTAAAATGTATAAAGTTGTGGGTTACCTTAGTGACGAAACTGAGTGTGAAAAAATATCTAATCAACTGACGGTTTACACGACAAAACACTTAATAAATAGAAAAATAACTATAAATTATAAAAATTATAAATTATCAAAACGCATCAACAATAAAATTGTATACAGTAACTGAACGCGCCAAGTAAATYGCAGTGAGTCCATAATAGTAATACTTGTTGTATATAATATAATTCATAATATACAGTGCCTCGTAGCAGCAGTACCGTATTTGAGGGTGATTTAGCGATAGGATCAACAGTTGAATTGAAATTAAGACGTCAACCCTCGAAATATTCGTCACTGTTGATGCTACTACTGCTGCTGCAAGTAGTTTTGTATAATCAGAAGCTCATTCAAGATATTCTTAGAATCAACCTCTGGCTTTTTATTATTAATTATTATTGTTATTTGACATTTTGTAACAAAATATTGTCGATTGCATTAAATTCACGTTTTTCTGTATTATAAAAATACCCTTATCGAGGAAAATATTTTACTGAAATGTCAAAATTGAAAAAAATAGTTAAAAAGCCCCCTTCATAGGGTTGAACACGATTGAGAACGGTCCTTACCGGTCTTGTCCTTTTTAGTAACACGATAGAGAACTTTTTACATGTTATCTTTTATGAAACGTTGCTGTATTGATTAAAAATCAAAATAGAAATAAAATATTAAAAAATGTATGTGAAATAAAATATAATAGTAAAATATACAGRTATAAATATTTGCGTATAGGCATCATTCAATTGGGATAATTTAAAGAAATAGAGTAAATTGAGAATTGTTTTTTCTTGTAATAAATCGTCTTTCGCGCTGATGTGATATCGATATCATTGTGTAAAATATTTGGTATGCCGTTTAAAAAAAAGTTTAAAAGTTTTAATGATTTTTAAAGGTTTTTAGATGTTTTTTCTTCAGCTTTTCGTTTAAAATTGTCTCGTTTAATTATTTGATTATTATTACTTACAATGTAAATCTTACATGATTAATATGTTCATCATAGGTATATGCGCGAAAAGACTTATAAAGTTTCGTTAGTAAATTAGAACTACAAATGATGTAAGAACATTTGTACTTCATTAATCTGTCTTTGCGTTGTCTTACTAATTCATATTTATAATTATTTGATATTGCAAGTTATTTTCCACACTCAGACGTTATAATTTTAAGTTTTCTACAATAAATACTAATACACATWACGAGCTTTCCGCCATCATAAACAACTGAATTTGGCTTATCCACGAATAGCGACTATAKACAATAAATAATAATTATTTATACAGTATAGTAAACCATAATATAGTATTTATTCATTTATTGTTTTTATCACTAAAAAAATTAAAATAAACGACAATGTAGCTAGAAAAGTCGATTYCAATCATTTTAATATAAGAAACAAAATATTATTTTTTTGATCTGCCGAAAATGATCTTTTTCGATGGTGTTACTAAAAAGGCAAAACGTTCACAATCGTATAACACCGTCATAGACATATCATATGATAAATGATATTAATAACAAACAAATAAATATTANGGGCGAGCCGATCATCGCGTGGTCACCAGATCAGACCTGACCACGGATTACTCCGGTACCGATGACAGTCCGCGGACTTCGAACTCTGACGGCGTCGTCACCATCAATAATTATTACACGTGGAACTCGTCCAGAACGAACTCTTCTATACGCAAGTATGCATGACGCACGCGTGCTAATGCCTAATAGAGTTGGAATATTATGTACTTATACAAATTTTTTATTGTGATGATAAGATTTAATTTGATGCTGTTTTATCGTGGTAACGGTTCAGGGTACAGAGAGAGTTATGAAAGTTTCAAAAGCCGTTCGTAAATGTCTTATATATTTGTGTAATATATATATTTTTTTAAACATAATATCTATAAAAAAAGAAAATATCCCATAGGTATGTTATTGTTGTGATAAAATTACACACATTTGATGTGTATATAGAGCTGTAGCACTAAAGGAGAGTTGAATTCAAGATAAAWGATTACAAGGCATTATATTGTCATTACTACCTAGTTATATAGTTATTGTAAGTAGAAATTCTGGGAAATTCGAATAAATTCTCACCTCCTCTTTATTAAAATCATATGATAGTTATTTTACTCTCAAATGCATTATTATTTATTATTATTATAATAATATGACCTCTTTTATTACATCGTTAACGAATCCTTAATAAAACATGTCTTAATTCATTCATCAACACTAATATCGTCCAAAATATCATGTTTCGTTAAACGTATTTTTAATATAAATGTATTATAATAGGTTAAAAATATTATATTCCTGCAGTTGAGTGCACAYATACATCTAATTATCCTTCTAGTCGCTTAAATAAAAACCAATACAAGGCCATTCCCAGCTTAGAACAATATAGTATGTATAATTGTATAGGTAGCTAAAACGTTTTATCAAAACGTATTATACATCCTGCAGACGTGGGATACATCTCCTGCAGCGGCTTTATTCTTATATCTTTACAATATAAGTATATATTATATTTGTATTATATGTCAAATCAATATTTGAATATTCCTTTTAACGTACCCTTGTTATAAGACCGCCTATTTTTGAAGGTCATTGGTCTAGTAGCCTTCAAATAGATAACAGTGTTCTGCAGAGCAATTTCTTGAGCTATACGTGGCACACTGGCACRTGTTTTGTCTACATATATATAAAATAAATACATATGATACGATGTATATTATGTTTCACACATATATTGAGTATAGAATAAGGTTATCTTTCTGGGCATATTTTAATCAAAAATTAACAAATCGTCGATTATCCGAYTTAACTTACTCGAAAAATCGTGGTTCTTACTAAACGCGATGCACCCAATATAATGCGATGTATATACCACCTTTATGCGTTGAAATGCTTTTCGGTCGGCCCATAATAATCGTTGCAGCCGATAAGCCAGGTCGTGTAATTGTCGGTTCTAGGTCACACTTTGTACTCTGTCGATGATTAAAAGTGCAAAACGCGGAAAAATAAAATAAAATAAATACTATAAAGTCAATGTAATCAAGTCTTTTTTAAGTTATTGGTTTGATAACAGCCAAACATAATACTTGTAATTATGTGTACTTGTATTTATAAATTAACTTAGAGCCCAGACCTTTACTTTTTGTTGTATTACGTTGCCCGGTCGCTATAGCCGCTATAGGTAAATCATTGCCACTGTGCAATTGTTAATATTATTACTGCTAACATTTAGTTTGGACGTTATATTAAATCACCGATGTATTCAAAAGTTATCATCTACACAAGCGATTTTACCTTTAAATTCCATGTTCTTGCCTCCCATACTTGTAACCTTATGGTTTGCTGAATCTCAACAACAATCCAAGTTCCTAGCATTTTGCTACTTTTCGCCGTCGATTGTAGAGCGCCTGAAATCGAGACTGGTGACAGAATTCGCATAGCTCCACCATTGTTGAGTACCATCGAGTTTAATTGATTGCTATTTCGGATTTCAGTTGATCTGCCAAACGCTTAACTAGTATTTTAAGGTAGTTTTTAAGACCCGTTACGTGATATAAAAAAGGGTGGGTATGATTTTTCACTATTCCCAGACCGTGGTAAAATTATGTACTTTCATAGCTTCATCTGCATAAATTGTATACGACAAAAATATGTCAAAGTAGAGGATATGATACMCTCATCGGTCATCGATATAGCCATTGTCGTCTTTCTCATCGTTTTCAATATCAGGGTGTCCAAATAAAATGAGTAACAAAAAAGAAACTAATAATAATAATTGATAAAAGTTATATACGTTATAAAAAACGCCAAAACTTTTTTATTAGAAGCAGTAAAACGATCAATAATGTTATCTATATTTATCGTTTCACTTCTGTTAATTTTAAAAGCGCTAATCCAATCAGCCACTGCGTATTCAATTGGCTTCTTAACCAACTCTTTAATCTATTAAACTCTCGTATACAACAAAGCAGAAGTAATAAGCAAAAAATGATTTATTTACTTAAATATTAGGTTTATAAATGAAACGCATATTAGTGTACTTTATAAGTTTACTGGTATAAGTAAAAATTTATTTGTTCTTGTAAGATCGTGACATATTATATTTTAAAACAAAAATAACTTTCTTCGTTTATTATAATATTATAATATTATAGTGTGGTATCCCAAAAAAAAAAAAAAAACAAATCTGTAGTTGAAGTAAATACATATCTGTCGGTCGTGTGCGATAATATAATAAATAATAATATATCATATTATTATATGTTGGCGATGTACAGGGAGAGAGCGGAAATCGTATCAGCACTGCACAAGTCGTCGTCGGACCTGCATCGTGGGCTGACGACGTGCAACAGCTTCACCAGATCACACAATTTGAGGAAAATCATGTCAATGTGTGCGGACCGCCGGAGCGATTTTTCGACGGACGAGTACCACCGACACGACCACGGTAACAGCGGTAACGATCGKGTCGCTGTTGAAACCGAACAGGACGACGTGCAGGCTACCGTCTGGCCGACCAGTGGCGAGGCAGCGGACCGACGTCGGTGGTCGTCATCTCATATCGGTGGCGTCTCACGTTGTTGGTCTTGTATGGCCACCGACCGGGAAACTGACGACGATGACGACTTGGACGAAGACAATGACACCGTGACCACGGACGAGTCACGCTACCGCCGGACGTCCGAAAATCATCGGTTGTCGCGGACACCAAAGTCGACCCGGAAGATCAGAAACAGTCGCAACAGCGGATAACATGGTATACAATTGTATAATTATATGATACATATGTATACTATGAATTATAAAATAATGTGTGTGTAACGTACTTTCGTGCAATCCGACTACCTATTTATATAGTAATAATTGCAGCGTCTGTAACGTGATTCAAACAAGACTCAAAATAGCAAAGTAATAGTAAGAAATCGAAATCTATAAAACAAAAGAGTCTATTTTTTTTTACAAATCATAAGCATTTTGTAAGTACTCTTCTTTTTCCTAATTGATCTTCAGCATTGACAACTTACTATGGGTCCTTAGAATTTTTTAGGGAAGTTGATGTTGGTTGAAGAGCACATGTAATGTATGTGTGAGGCGAGGATTCGTTACTAAAACTCTTGTATTAAATTTTCAAACTTCGATATAGAAAGAAAAATGTTTATGATTTTTCAACTAGTAATAATTTGTTAATTTTTGCGATTTTAATAATCATTTTCGTCAACATTCTAAGTTTAAATGCTCATAAAAAAATTATGAAAAGGTATTTTCGATATTTTTTAAATGGCGTCGTACAACTTTGAACTTACCGAGAAACTTTGTATACAGTTTTCAGGTTTTTTGACCAAGTGAAAAATTTCATCAACGWATATGTCGAAATAAAAAATATATTGTCGTTAAAAAAATAAAAATCTTAACATTGAAGTATAATAATAAAAAATATATTTTTTTTTTAAATTATGTTTTATTATGTTAACTTCGTCTTCAAGTTAAGAAAAATTATATTTTCAAAACCATTAATACAATGATAAAATAAAATAAAATGTTGTTCAAAATAATCACCACGTTATGTATTTAATTGCATTTCAGCTATAAGCTGTAATGTCGTMATTTTTGGTGAGACGATTATGATGCCGTTGCTACTGCAACGATAACAGTGCAGTATTGCTTTTTCCTTTCTAATTTCCATACTTCAACCTCAAATGTCATCAATTATACTTATAAACTTACTCAA